GGTCACACTGCGACTGGACAGCTGTACATAAGTAAAAGATACAAAAAAGTCACTTAAATTTAAGCAAAAAATAAATAAATCACAAACTTCTAGGAGTTAAAGAACAACTTCAACCTGTATGCATTTCTTTCTCATTCGGAGTTGTATTAAAAGTTTTTTGCAAGGGGAAATGACTCTTAAAAGAGCCTTTGAGTTATAGTGAACAACACCACAAACAAGGAGAGAGATGGAGGTGTGGGGATGACAATGACAAGGATCTGCAAAAAGAAGGAAATACAGAGAATCAGTATTAGCATAAAATGTTTTATTTTTTACTCTTGCAGGGGTGTTCAAACATCGGTCCTGGAGGGCCACTGTCCTGCAGAATTTAACTCTAACTTGCCTCAACACACCTGCCTAGAAGTGTCTAGTATGCCTAATAAGGTCTTGATTGGCTGGTCCAGGTGTGTTTAATTGTGGATGGAGCTGAACTCTGCAGGACAGTGGCCCTCCAGGAGCAGGATTGGGCACCTGCACTAGTGCATATACTGTATAGCAGCATAACAGTGTGTAATATAACAAACGAGCTCTACTTTCAAGGACTGTTAAACTTAATCATACTTTGTTGAATTATTATTAATAAATGTAGTTTGCCAATTATTTTAATAGATGTATAATCATTATTATTATTAATAATAATATTTACTAAATATTTTACATTTAATCATTTTATTCACAGAAAAACAATAATTTTGTATAGCTATTGTTAATATTAACTTGTCCTATATTACTTCTGCTGGTTCAGTTTTGCTACTGTATTAATTTTTAAGGGGCTTATTTTGGGAACACTGTATCCTAATCATAATCCCACCAAAACCACACACACTAACGTTTCTAATGCTGCCTTCACGTGCTCTCGGAATTATCGTAAATACGAGTTTCTTAGGTAAACATTGCACATGAACGCCCTCCCACTTCGAAACTTTAAAGCGATGAGCTCGTAGTCAACTTCAGAATGAGAATTATCACATTTCCGACAGAACGTGAAGGCATTAGACCTACGACGCTTTTGGGAAACGCAGCCCTGGTTACTTGCGTGCTATGGTTGAGTGAGTAAAGTTACGCGATTTTATTTTTAAACTACTTCACCCTTCCTTTTAACAGCACACTAAACGCCACTTTAGAATTAAAACTTGTAATTAAACAAATTAGACAAGAGACGTAGC